TCTTTTTAAACCGATTATAGCAAAACCCTTTGGGATTTTCTTAGGCTTAGATGGCTTAAAATATAAATGTATGTACATCTGGCTATATATTTATCTTTATAAGGTATTTGTGTATGCAACGAGGAGAGTTTGTTTCCTTTCTATGTGATTCACAGGCTAACAAGACGCAGCTTTATAGCTGTAAAGCTAATGGAAATAAATTTTATAGTCATCTAGTATGTATAGTATCTACCTATCTCCCTCTCCGAACTGCCTTTGCCGCTTGCTAGCTCTTTCTCTCTTCCTCTAAGTTAATCTTTTGCCATTCCAACTGAATGATTGACTGACTGTGATATTGATTGATTCATAAAGCATTGTAATCCCATTTGGCTGTAAAAATTTGTTTAATCGTCTTGTACTCGCATTGTAAAATAGTATAAGCTTTGCTTGATTGATGTGATACAAAAACACTGAGTGTACGAAACAATGAGTGGCTAATGCATTAGACATTAATAGTTGTTGCTTATCAGATGCACAATGTTCGCTATGATCTTGCAGCCGTTCTTGTGGTGCAGCAAATTGAGGCACGGATCGCGTATCTTCTCCTCGAGCAGCTTGATCAGTTCTGTGCGCAGGCATTGGATCAGCTCAGCCGTCTCATGGTTGTGCGCCTTCACAATGATCCAGCCGCTCTCCAGTAGAAACAGAAAGTCTCCATCATGGAGCTCCACCTTGAAATCGGAGCCGGCAAACAGGACCAGAGCAATCAGGGGCAGCATGGAGCAGTCGCGTATGTAAATGGAGCTGGTGCACACCTTCTCCTGGTAGACAAGGAACGGGGCCTGGAAGACGGCGACCTGTGAGTTCACAGAGGACGGATGGATGCGCACATAGCCATCGCCGCGCGTCTTAAAGCGCAAATCCTGATGGCCGGGCTCGCGCGGCACTGCGCCACCCGCTGTCTGTATATAGACGCGATCCGGTGTCATGATCTTCACAATATTCGGATAGAGTGCGGCGCAGAGCAGCGATGTCAGCAGTCGATTGTTCTCGCCGTTCACGTTCTGTTCCTGACCTGAAGCAGCAATGCATAGGCATATCAACTGGATGAGGATCAGGATAGTAGTTAGCTACGCACCTGTGAGCTGGAGTACATTGTCGCTGCTGTTCGGTCTGCGCCGTGGCACATTCACCGGCACGAATCCAATCGAGACGAGCAACTCCAGATACTGATACTTGAGATCCGCAATCATCTCGAGCGTGTTGATGGACAGATAGTTCGTACTCGCATAATTTCGACTCGCTCCGTAATGTCCGCGTTTCGCCACAGCCAGCCATTTCTGCAAGGACGAGGCAAGAGGAGAAGACGTTAAGGAAGAGTTTTGACAACTGAGTGACTGACTGACTGACTGATTGATCGACCGATGATCGATGGGCGAATAGATCGATTAACTAACATACTAGCTATATGGAGCGTTTTGCCTTTCCCGATTATGGATCGGCTGACGATCTGATGGACATGTGTCCATATCAAACCAAAGCCAATCACTTGAGTACAGTTGATTGATTAGCTTTGCTTTGAGTGTCTGCCGTGTTCTTTTCACTTACTCGATAAGCATTCAGCACGGTCAGATGGTCGCTGTGATCGAGCGCGAATTGTCGCTTGCGTTTGTCGGCCTCGTCGCGCTTATTCAGCGGACTGATGAACGGCGACTTGTTGCTCAGGCAGGCGGCGATGGTGAGCACGCTGTCCAGGCACTGGAAGATGGCGCCGTAAAGCATCAGCTTGCCAATGCGCACATCCACGGGCAACGCGGCCAAATGGTGGCCAAGTGGCGTTAGCTGATCCTCGATATCCAAGGCGCCGACATCACGCAATCGCATCAGCGCGCCCTGCACGCTGTCCTCCTTGGGCGCATCCAGTGTCTCGAGCAGCACGGAGAGGGTATTGCGCGAGGCGAACATGGACAGCGTCTTGATGCGCAGCACAATCTGCTCGAGCGGCACTCGCTGTATCTCGGGCACCGGCTGGGCCAGTATGTGATGCTCATATCGATAGCGGGTATACAAATGGATGCACACGCCGGGCATGACACGGCCGGCTCGGCCTTTGCGCTGTTTGGCATTGGCGCGCGACACCCAGACCAGATCCAACGATTCCATGTTGCGATTCGAGTCGAAGCCCTTCTCCTTCATGAGCCCGCAGTCGATGACAAAGACGCAATCATCGATCGTGACAGATGTCTCGGCTATATTCGTGCTGAGCACGATTTTTCGTTTTCCCGGCGGTGCCCGCTTGAAGACCAGCGCCTGATCCTCGCTGGACAACGCCGAATGCAATGGGATGAGCATATATTTGCCAGAGCGCGGGCCGACTGCGCTGTCCTGCAGCGCATTGAGCACCGTTTGTATCTCCTGAAAGCCGGGCAGAAAGATGAGGATGCTGCCCTCGCGCGGCCATTGATGATCGCCCTCCACAATGTACTTGAGCACAGACTCAATCAGATCGGGATTGATCATCATGGGCTCCATGAGGTAGATGCTCTTGCATGTCGTCTTGCTGTAGTCTGAAAATGGATACGAATTTGGAGCTTAATCTGATGGTCGACTAGTTGCTTAGCTTACCCGAATAGCGGGCGTAGGTCTCGGCTAGCGTCAGATTCTCGTCCTTGATCTTGGGGCCAGGCGGTTCACTGCTGGCCTGCAGATCGGCGAATTCCAGCACACTTTCCAGCACCTCCTGATCCTTCTTTTTGAGCTTACGACAGAATTTCGTGTCGCATTCCATAACAAAATCACAAGCATCCAGTATATCCTCAAGGAAGAGCTGTTCCACAGGAAACGTGCGTCCCGGTATATCCAGAACAGGAGCGCCGCCAAAGTAATTGGAGAAGAGCGACGCATTCAACGTGGCGGACATGAGTATCACTTTAAGATCCTTGCGTTCACGCAATATATTCTTGAGTATGAGCAACAGGAAGTCCGAGTCCTGCGATCGCTCGTGCACTTCGTCCACAATCACATGGCTAACGTTGGTCAGCAGCGGATCGGAGGACAGGCGTCGCAACAGTATGCCAGTGGTGCAGAAGGTCAGCCTCGTGCTTTCAGAGATCTTGTTCTCGAGCCGTATCTGATAGCCAACCAGCCGGCCAATGCGATCCACACGCTCGGCAGCCACGCGCTCAGCCACACCGATAGCCGAGAGTCGACGCGGCTGCGTACAGATAATCTCTACATGGGGCATGTCCTCGGATGTAGACTTGCAGGCCTGGAAGAACCAATCGTCCAATATGAACTGCGGCACTTGGGTGCTCTTGCCACAGCCCGTCTCGCCAGAGATGACCACCACCTGGTTGCTCTTGATGAGTGCAATAATGCGCTCGATTTCGGCAAAGGCAGGCAGCTTCCTGCGACCCTCGATCGACTTGATGTAGCTACCTTCGCGTCGGCGGTCGTTGAACTGCTTCAACAGGGTGCGATTCATAGATGCCAATGCGGCGGCATTGCGTTGATAAGTGCCGCCATCGTTGCGCGACGTCTGTCCGCGCTCGTAGTGGCTGGGACGCGGCTTTGCCGCTGCCCCCTCGTTGGCATCTTGATCAGCGCCATTTGCCGGCTCATCGTAGAAGAGCGAACGCTTGGGCGAGGGGAAACGGGCGGTGTCCAGGCTGCCGGCCAGACCCTCATCCGTTTGCAGCATCTCACACACGCTGTAGACGCAGGGAATGCCGTCTCGGCAAATTTGGCGCGCCTCCTGGTACAGACGGCGAGCGAAGCGCAAGCGCAACTCATGCGGTATATCGTGGCAGGTGGTCTTGAGGTAGATGTATGGCGCTTCGTATGGATAACGACTGCCCGGCGGAAAGCGCACCTCCACGTGGAACCACTGCTCGTTCTCGTTCTCATCCAGATTGTCGGCACGCTTGCGCTCCGGTGTCCCCGTCACCTCGGGCTGTGCTGGCACATGGGCAAATCGGCATTTGGGTCCAAATTTACACGTGCCATCACGATCAAAATTGCGACAACGTTGCGGCGCCTTCTTCTTCTTGTCCAATGCCGCTTGGCGAACGGCAGCGGCTGCCGCAAGGGCTGCTTCACGCGCCTTGCGCACTTCCGATGGGCTGTGCGCCAGCAGATGCTCAATCTTAAACTTAAGATTCCAAACGCTGTTATATTCACGCTCCTCGAATGCCTTGTCGTAGATGGACTGCAGCGCTTCCTTTTCGTCGGCTCGCATATCCAGCAGACTGGCCTCGTCGTGTGCCTCGAGCTCCAGGATTTCATTGGCGGGCACGCGCATATAGCGTTTATAGAGCAACAGCAGAGCTGCTTCTGTATCGTGTGAGCAATGTTCATACGCTTCTAGGCAATGGGCAGGATGGAAGCCATAGTTCTCCAGCTTGAGCAGTGCATAGCGACGCAAACGATCGTCATCGGCTGTGCCGCTGGACGTCGCACTGACACCTTGAACACTTTGCACTTGGAGTGTACCGCGATCCTCCCAGTAGGCATGCTTAATACCTTTCCCGCCACGCCCCCGATCCTTGTATTTGGCGATGTCATCGAGCTTGAAGTCCGGCCCGTGTATGGCGCGCAATGTGTCCATTGTCAGTCGCTGTGACTCATCGCTCAGCCGCAGCACGTGCAGTTCCGTCTTGCGGGATTTGTTGTCCGGCACCGATTTTGGTGGCGCCTGAACATTCCTACACATAGAAAGTGGTTAACTGGCGATTATAGTGATGAATTATCCACTTACGTTGTGCGCACATCGCTAGGCGCTCGCACGTGCCAGTCTTCCATACATTGGCGCGACAGCTCGTCCATGTTCCCAGAATTTCGTTAACTAGTCTAATCAATTTCACAATTAAAGCTAATAGCCCGAAAACGGCCGATGGAACATTACCAAGTCAGCAATGTGCCAGAAAGCCTTTCGATAACGCGCAGCAGCTGTTTTGCTTTTTCTAATCAAGACTGATGACAGTTACGGCGTTGCCACATCAGCAATGTCAAAAAATAAACAGTAACATTTGAATAGTAAGTCATGTACATCTTTATTAGTGTAGAATATATTGAGACATGTATAGAACGTTTGGAAATTGTGTGTGAAAAAAAAATATAATAGAAAAAAATTATTATAGCCCTTTCCTATCTCAACGAACTTGGTCTTCAAATCCTTATCCGACCTCGCTGGAATGGCAGACAAGTATATTTATATTTTAACTCTCAAACTATTGCCGGCATTGACCGCTAAAACCGTTTACATTAAATCTAGTTCAATTTTCTCAAGAACAGCCGTCTCCTTTAGAAGTGAACTGAATTCGGCTTGATGTTCCGCCAAACGCATCTTATACTTAGCCTTCAAACTTTCAGTTTTAGATTTTATGGTTTCTATTTGATTTTGCATATCCAATATGCGATCAACCAACATGGAGTGAGACTAGACAAAAAAGTTTACTTTTGATATGTACTATTTTAAAAATGTGCTCTTCACACTTACCATATCGGTGTATTCGTCGAATCCCTCTTTGAGGGCGTTCGCTTCAGCGGCCTTAATGGCTTCGGTACAGTGTGTGGCATACGCATGTGCACATTCATCCTCGGCCTTGAACAAACGGTTAAATTTTTCCAACTGTTCTTTGTGCATTGCGCATATTTTCATGGCTGTTGAAACATTGATGTTAACTGGTTGATTAAGCGCACACATCAACCCAAATTTATCTTCCACTATTTTTGAGCATTTGTTTTGCTCAGAAGTAATTAATTCATTCAGTTTTCTATTACTAGATTCCTGCGAAACAACTGTTACATTTACAAATGGATAGAAACATCGCATATTTACCGTATAGTTTAGACATTGCGTAGCGCATTCTTTGATCAACTTTGTTATTTCTGTTAGATCAGAGCTGGTTTGGTCAGTCTCTTCCTGCTCTTCGCCCAACAAATCGTCATTTGCCGGCATTTCCATTTCAAAGTCAACGGGATTATCATCAGCAAAAGGCATGGTTTATTTAATAAGACACAAACTCCCTCGCGCTTCTTAATGTGTTCCACTTTGATTGCTGCAAGCAACTGAATAATCTATCGTGTAACGATTACAGCTGTCAATCGAATAATTAATTTTGAAGGCAGGTGGCAGCAGCACAATCGGATTAAATGTGATATTAAAAAACTGATCAACATTCAGATTTATGTATGCAGAAAAGCTTTAGAGCTACATAGTTTTTTTTTACGCGCTCCATTTGCCATTATTTTTCAATATTTTATTGTATTAATATTGCTTGCCAATAGGACCATCACAAGCCCACAACAATCGATATACAAGATTAAATAATAATTTCCGCTCTTATTTGAAAGGACAATGGAGATTCGTACATGATCTGAGTGTGTGTATGAATAACTCTTCTTCGGCATATTCGTTTTGCTACCAAAAATTTGGTGTGCCAATTTTTAATTAATTATGCATTATTTCATTTTATCGTTGAGTAAAGCTGCCCATCGAGTAAATCTTTCTGAGATGTGGCAGCATCAGAGTGGGGAAATAATTGATATTCAAAATGAATTATGAATTTTGCTTCTTGTTCACGTTTAACAATCGAAGTTTGTGGATGGCAGAATATAATAAATTTATTTATTTTCATTCCCAATTTGATATATATTGCAGCGCAAATCGGAACAGAACGATGCAGCTTAGGAAGTTTAAGCGGATGGCTAGCAAAGCGCTACGCGTGGAACGTGAAAGATGTGAGGTGGAAATGAAGTTGAACAATGTTCAGCCAATCAATCAAGATACTCAGCCGGAAATTAAAGACGTACACTTGCAGCCGTTAAAACGCCGGTCGAGTAGATTAATGACAATGGGCATGAGACCAAGCTCACAGCCGCCCAGTTTTCGAAAGATGATGAGCCCACCGCATGGTGCTAAGAGTGATGAACAGCCTGGCCGCAGACTGGACAAAAAGCGGCTTTCAGATGATAATATTCTACTTAGCCGCCGATCGCAGGACGATCAGCTCTATCATCAGCAACGCTTTTACCGCGCACAAGACAACCCGATTTTTGCACGTCGTCCGAAAGAGAGTTTTATGCAACAACAATGCTCCAAAGAGAATATGCATCGTCGCACGGTGAAACGGTTGGAGCAGCATGCTCACCAGCAAGCTCGAGCTGCTACAGCAGCCGCAGCAGCGGCTGCCTCTACAGTGGTTGCCCAAATCCGTAAAGATGCCCTTGACGCCGTTGCACGTCAACAGGCTCCCTATATGCGCATGGCTACCCATGCCAGTAACCGACCGAGCTCGAGCAGATCTAATCCTAAAGACAGCGACCAACGCCGACTAATCCGCAACTCGAATTTATTGAGCTCGGCTCTCAGCATTATTCGTGAAATGGATCCAGCCTTTCTAGAAACACTCTGCTATGCCATTCATGATCAAGTCACCAAAGAAGACCCACCGGAATCCGATTAATTAACTTCATCGATACATCCATACATACATATATGGATAGGGTTTTTGTTGATTTGCTTCTCTATCGCCAATTTTAAAATTGAATTGATTAATTTGATGCTTTCGTTCCACATTGCTAAACACTCAACTAAGGACACAATCAATGTTGTTTGAAGGCAAATGAGGCGTTGAAAAGAAGCTATGAAATGTATAAGTGATTCATCATAAGAATCCGTCCCCTTCTCTTTCTGTCGATAGGAATAAATACTTTATATTTGGACGAAATCAATTCTTTGTGTATTCCAATTATTCTCAATATTTTTATTTTATGCATGTTTGTTTCTCATAATCTCTCTCCCAGCGCTATGGTTAGTGCTCCCACATCACAGATTCTGCTTTGTTACGATAATTACCTGACTTTAATATATCGATAGATTTGAGGTATTTATTGAATACACATCTCCATTGGCAGAATCATAACGGAAAAGTATATACTACATATCTGAAATAAGTTAGAGGACTCGCTCCTTGAGTTTAAACATAAGTGGATCTTTGGTGCGGAGGATCAGCTCAGCAATAAGCACTGGTGGCTCCTCAGTGTTTCCAACAAATTCAACTTCATAATGTCGTAAAACGTTCGCCGCTATCGCTTTGATTTCGAGTACAGCAAATTTCTGGCCGATGCAGTTGCGCGGGCCGGCCGAGAAAGGAATGTAGGCATAAGGATTGAGTTTCTCTGCACTCGTTACTACGTCAAATCGTTCAGGCTTAAACGTATTTGCCTCGCTGAAGATATCCTCACGTCGACCCAAAAGCAATGGCGAAATTCCTATATTTGTGCCGGCCGGAATGATTTTGCCATCTGATTTATAGTTAAGTGATTACTAATCTATAAGGTTTAAGTATATATACGTATTTTAAATGAAACTTACTTATTTCACACTCCTGGAGCACCTTGCGGCCTAGCAGCGGGACCGATGGATACATACGCAGCGTTTCCTTGATGCACAGATCCAAATAATTGAGGCTGTTGAGCAGATCGTAGGTAACAGGCGTCTCTCTGTCATTGCCCAGCACGGAGACAATTTCTTCAACGCACTTGCGCTGGCATTCCGGATACAATGCGATGTTATAGAAGAGAAACATAATGGCTGAGGATGTGGTATCATGGCCCTCAAACATGAAGGTATCCACCTCCTCACGTATATCTGCATTGGTCAGCGGTTTGTCGTCGATCTTCGACTGCAGCAATATGTCCAGGAAGGCCATTTTACGCTTGGCACCCACATCTACATCGTCTGAACTCTGTGTTGAGCTGTTTGCTCGAAGCAGCTCTTGACGGCGCTGCACGATGATCTTCTCTGTAAAGTTGTGCAGGACTTTCAAGGCTCGACGTTCGGCTATAGCCAGAGGAGTCAGCTTGTAGGTCAGATCCAAGCGATAAAAGATGTTGAACATGCGCTTGTGCAGGACCATCGAAATGGTCTTCACTGCACGAACATAATCCGAGTCGGCATTCGTCTGTGCATTGGTGGAGACTCCCATGGCGGTCTCTAATTAGAAGAGAGGAGAAGAGATGAGAGGCTATTGATTGTAGTATTATTGTGTATACATAAAAAGACGTTTGGAAAAGGCAAATCTGATTAAGCTTAGGACTCGGCTACTTACCACAAATAGTGTCCATTGTGCAGAGATTGACCCAGTCGTATAGGTTAAAACCAGCTTTGTCATTCTTCAGACGTTCCCTCTCCAAATTCTTGAGCAGCACACGAGACTCTCGCTCAAAAATATCAACGAATTGGTATAGAATTTTGAAGTGAAAGGCAGGTGTAATGATCTTGCGTCGTTTATGCCATTTGCGACCACGGCTGATGAGTAGACCTTCTTTGAGCCATGGCTCGAGGGCCTTATACTCACCAGCCTTGTCATTAAAGCGAAGTGTGCCAAGGATCACCTCCACATCTTTGAGATTGCCCATAAGCATGTTGAGCTCTGGGCCTAGCCACACTTTGAGCGTGTGATCCTTGGCATAGGTGTCCATGAAACCCCTAACCTTTAGAATAAGTTCATGAGGCTCCAAGCCCAAGAAGTGATAACCATGACCGACTAGTGGCAACGACGGCGCACTACCCAAATCTCGCGTCACCTCGATACTGTGCTTGAATTTAAGCTGATAGACCAGTAGGCCCACAAATAGGGCGCTAGCCAGAATGAGACCCAACACCAGGAACATCTTGATCGCAACAACTCACAAAATCAACTGAAACTTCGACCTTCCATTACCTATATTTTTAGTGCAAATCTTATCGTGGCTTATTCGAAATACAAGCAGTTGTAAAGTTGGCTAATACCTATAGTTGGACTATCTAATCTCATGCACACCAAATTCAAATTCTTGTGTACGTAGCTTTTTAATCTATCCATTATTCCTAACAGGCTCTTGTTCTGAGATCACTTGATCTTATTTCAATGACTTTATGGAAACTTTAAATTTATTGTCCGAAAAGCAAAATAATTTGAGGCAATAAAAATTGCATAGCAATTATTTTTGTGGAAAATAGCTCTAATAAATGGGCAACATGTCCAAGATCGAAGGGGCTTTAAAACCCTTTAAAACTGTTCGAACGTTGCATATTTTTCTGCTTCATTGTAATCCACAATTATTTTCGTAATGTGCAATTCTCACACTAATGTATCTCTCTCTTTCTTTCTTCTTTCTTCTTATTCTTAAGTATCGATGTAATTTCCTTGTTTAAATAAAACGATAGTTAATGGATATTTACTTATCGATAGTTTTGTGGTATTTGTTGGATATTCACATCTCAATTGGCAAATTCATAACGGAATTTACGAAGTGTAGAAGGAAATGTGTCGGAAAAATGTACATACATACATACATATGTGAAATAAGTTAGAGGACGCGCTCCTTGAGCTTAAACATGAGTGGATCCCTGGTACGAAGAACCAATTCAGCAATAAGCACTGGTGGCTCCTCGGCGTTTCCAACAAATTCAACTTCATAATGTCGCAAAACGTTCGCCGCTATCGCTTTGATTTCGAGTACGGCAAATTTCTGGCCGATGCAGTTGCGCGGGCCGGCCGAGAAAGGAATGTAGGCATAAGGATTGAGCTTCTCTGCACTCGTTACTACGTCAAATCGCTCAGGCTTAAACGTATTTGGTTCACTGAAGAGATCCTCACGTCGACCCAAAAACAATGGAGAAATTCCTATATTTGTGCCGGCCGGAATGATTTTGCCATCTGGTCAATGAGTAAGAAGTTAATGAGGTATGAATATATTTCAATTGTAAGTTTATCGAATCTCACTTATTTCACACTCCTGGAGCACCTTGCGGCCAATAAGGGGAACCGATGGATACATTCGCAACGTTTCCTTGATGCACAGATCCATATAATGGAGGTTGTTGAGCAGATCGTAGGTAACAGGCTTTTCTCTGTCGTTGCCCAGCACGGAGACAATTTCTTCAACGCACTTGCGCTGACATTCCGGATACAATGCGATGTTATAGAAGAAGAACGTCAGTGCCGAGGATGTCGTATCATGGCCCTCAAACATGAAGGTATCCACCTCCTCACGTATATCTGTATTGGTCAGCGGCTTGTCGTCGATCTTCGACTGCAGCAATATGTCCAGGAAGGCCATTTTACGCTTGGCACCCACATCTACATCGTCCGAACTCTGTGTTGAGCTGTTTGCTCGAAGCAGCTCTTCACGGCGCTGCACGATGATCTTCTCTGTAAAGCTGTGCAGGACTTTCAAGGCTCGACGCTCGGCTCTAGCCAGAGGAGTCAGCATGTAGGTCAGATCGAAGCGATAGAAGATGTTGAACATGCGCTTGTGCAGGACCATCGAAATGGTCTTCACTGCACGAACATAATCCGAGTCGGCATTCGTCTGTGCATTGGTGGAGACTCCCATGGCGGTTTCTATGGTAAAACGGTGCAGGACAGAGAGGTGAAGAGAAATTACGGTATATGGGTCAAATTCCAAGTGCTGATTAGAGATTCATAAATAAACGAGCTGCTTAGATTAAAAGCAAATAATGCTCCCCATTGAATGTCGACTGCTGCTAATCAGAATATGAAGACAAATCGATTCTATATTTACAGTTGTGTTATCTTAATATTGGCGAAAGAACATATGAATATCTTTATCAGTGCTTGACATTGAAAACAACTTGGAATGGGCTATAAATTGGAGCACCAACAGACGCACTAGAGACATCTTGTCTACCTACCACAAATGGTGTCCATGGTGAAAAGGTCGATCCATTCGGACAGATCGAGACCACCTTGGCCCTGCTGCTGGCGCTCTCTCTCCAAATTCTTGAGCAGCACACGCGACTCGTGCTCAAAAATATCGACGAACTCTTCGAGGATCCCACTTCAGGAAGGCGGGTGTAATGATCTTGCGACGTTTTTGCCACTTGCATCCTGTACTAATGAGCAGGCCCTCCTTGAGCCATGGCTCGAGGGCCTTGTACTCGCCGGCCTTCTCATTGAAACGAACAGTGCCAAGGACGACTTCCAGATCCTTGGGATCTCCCATGAGCACATTGAGCTCTGGACCTAGCCACACTTTGAGCGTGTGATCCTTGGCATATACGTCTATGTAATGACCCAGCGTCTGCACCAACTCATGTGGTGCCTTGCCAATCAACTGTAGCGCATGCTCAACCACTGGCCATGCCGGTGGAGTGCCCAAATCTCGAGTCAGCTCGATAAGACGCTTGAACTTCAGCCGATAGATGAGCAGGCCCGCAAATAGAACGCTAGTCAGAAAAAGAACCAACGCCAGAAGCATATTGAAAACGGCAAGACGAAGTGCCTCACTAAGAGACAGAAAATCAACTGTCGCTCAAACTCTGCTGATATTTGCAATGGTTGATATACGAGCATACATTTAATGGGCATAGTTGGATATTATGCACAGGTCCGGTTATATAATAAGCACTCGTACAGGTCAATTGTTCAAATTCGAGTTTAATGGAAATCAAATAAAAATTAAGCCATTAAATTGGCTTTCTAGTTCTCGTTTGCAACTAATTCCAATCACAAACCTGATTTGTCCCGACTAATAATTAAAATTTTGGTAAAATTAAGAGTTGGAATGCAACGTAAACTGGTTAAAGTCTTAAGATATCAAATGCCAAATCAATCAAATTTTTAGCCTGAAAGATATGCCACTTGAGTTAGTTTCCTAATAACGGATATACTATTTTCTCACAGGCCACACCCCACCCCGAATGGACTCTCTTTACACTTCCCGAATGGGTATACAAGACCACAACAATAGTTTCCACTAAGCTACTGCAACAAAGAATCAGAAGGAGGAGCTGAATTGAGCCGTTCAGAAAGATGTCTGACTCACCACAAATGACATCCAGCGTGAACAGATGCACATCATGCCCCAGGTCGAAGGAGCGGCCAAGGGTCTGCTGCCATTTGCGAATGAGCACTCGAGTTTGCCTATCAAAGATCTCCACATACGGCTCGAGAATGCGGAAATGGAAGGCGGGCGTGATGATCTTGCGACGGCGATGCCATTTTGGCCCGCTACTCAGGAGCAGCCCATCGTTGAGCCAGCCGCGTAGAAAGCTATACTCGACAGCCTTGTCCAGCAGCTGGCTGCTGCTGAGAACAACTTCCATGTCCCGTGGCTGGAACATCATCAGGCTAAAGTTGCTGCCCATTTTGAGCTTGAAGGTGCCATCATACTGCTCCGCCAACTGGGCAATTAGTTGCGGCACTTGCCACGGCTCCAGGCCGAAAAACATGTGAAAATGTCCAAGTACCGGTAGATCGCGTGGTCCGGGCAGCTGGGCTGCCAACTCGTAGGTGCGCCGACGTCGGCGCAGCCACGCCAGCAGTGGCAGCCAGCTAAGCCCGGCCAACGCCACGACGATGCACGCGACAGCAATGAGCAGCGGTACCGAAAGAGACATTTCGCTGACATGGGCGAGCGACAATTGAAATTGAAATGAGCTTTCCCAGCTATTTTTTATTCACAATCAGTTCAGTTGCAGTCCAGCCAGGAGGTTATCTGCCAACTTAAAGATTAAGGTCAGCTTCAGTGGCCATTGCCCTGCACCCTGCCTATACAAACTAGCAAGTCGGGTACATTGGCTTACAGTCATAGACTAACTAAGTTTTATCTCGTACGAATTTTTAGCATCGAACAAGTGCATCAGTTTAGTGCGTGGCATCCCCTAGTCGTACAGCCCCATCTAGAGCACTTTTAGCGGGTTGTTTCTTTATTATTATTATTTACTTTACTCATCCGCCACATGGCGCTGCCGAAATTAGAATTTTCCGTTTTAAAAATAGAGCCAGTGGCAAACTATGACGCCATGCCCGGGCAAATGGGCGTGCGTGGGCGTTTAGGTGTGTTTACATTCGATCATGTTTTGCTATGGAGCTGTGACGTCACTAACATTCAAGTTCAGATGCCTTTCCACCCAGATGGCAACGCCATGTACGGAATGTGTGCGAAATAAAGATGAAAAGTTAACATGAAATTGCATCGCTAGAGCAATAAATTGCATATATTATGTACACATAAGCAAATTGACCACGAAAAAGTGAAATTGAGCTTCTTAATCGATGCGATTCAAGAAAATATTTTGATTGGTCAACAAATTATTTTTAATATACATATGTACATACATAAATACATATACATATTAGATGTACATATGTATGTATGTATGTATGCAGATATTAAAACTGTTTCGATATTTTGAACTCAGTAAAGTAAAAAAAAAAATTTAAGATGATTACATTTTCTGCTATTGTTGAAGGCATGTGCCAAGGAATTTGCTTGGCTAACTTACTCAAGTGGAATCAAGCGAATTCTAAATGCAAATTGCATTTGCCTGCGCAGCTGGATTCGGGCGCCAGCTGATTCATCTAGAAATTCCAATAAGAAATGCGAATGCGAATGCCCACTCGAATTTTCGGTGTTACGTACACAACAACAAGAAGAGCGAGTAGGCGACGGAGAAGAGGAAAGAGAAGGAGGAGAAACAATGCCAATAATAAACAACAAGAGATTGCTTAGCTTTGAATTGTAAACTAGACTATACCCTGTAAATTTTTGTCCGCTTTATTTACAATATATCTGAAATGTTTTATTTACATATATTAATTTATTTTGTTGATTATTTAAAGATCGATAGGGCGAATCAGGCCGATAGTTATCGATTGATCAATTTACGCGTTTAGTTGCAAAATAAACACTAATTAAGGACTAATTAAACTGATCCCAAATATAAAAGTGTACCTTATATATCGATATACATATATATGTAGTATCTTACATATGTAGTTCGTATATCTTATATATTTTACTTATGTACATTTTCAAAGGGGTAAGGCTGACTCATACCCTATTGACGATTGTGATTACAGGGTATGACAACTAGGCGTCCTTCGAGCATGCCAAATTCCAAAATTCTTGCGTCGGTCGTCGACGTCATTTTGGCCCATGATTCGCACCGCGGGCCACAATTGAAACGTAAATATTTACACATGTCTTACAAGAGTTTCTTGAACGATTTCTCACTGTCGGATATAGCATATAGTACATATACACATACATATGTACATACATATAGGATGTACACACATTGCTTATAGATCGGTGGGATGTGTGCGCATTGGAATTTCATTGGCATTTCCAATTTTGTACATTTTGTGAATTTTGTTCGCTTTTGCATTTCTGTTTTGATTTCTTTGCCATTTCTTCATACTCATATGTATATACAGAGAGTTCAGCGTGTTGAACTCGAGTGATTGTATTTTGCCATAGATCAGGGAGAGGCAGCGAAAAAAGGAGAGAGAGAGAGAGAGAGAGTGAGAGAGAGCCGCTAAGGCCAACGAGGCCAGAACGTGCCATATGGAGCATTTGATGAAATCGCGAAGCAACGGCAGGCTAAGCGAGGTCTGTTCGGAAAGTTATTATCTTCTTAGGTAATCCCCATCGGCCACTAGAGTCTTGTGACAATAATCTGATTGTCATCCTGCTCTCCCCTCATAGACCTTGCTTAGGCCTCTGTAGTGTAGGAAGCATTCTTATCACAAGAGAGATAAAACCGTGATCAAGTGCATATAAAATCGATATTCGATAATCGATTTATTATGCGTAGCCCTCGTAAGTTCGAAATTCGCAAAATTTTTAAGCACACCTCTTATGAATACATCAGCATAAGTGCAAAAACAAGAGCTAAAAGCAATAACAAAAATATTATTTAAATAATAATAACAAAAATTTCGCTTTGGCTCAACACATTTTGCGTCATTTGGCGCTGAAGAGCTGAATTCAAAATTTTTACCCATAACCAACATAGAAATGAATATATGTACATATATACATATGTACATGTATATGTGTACATTTATATGATATATGCATATAGATTGTACTATATATATAACTATATACCACAACAAAGTAAAAGAATCAACGATTTTAATAATAAACATGGGCTAACGCTGCGTATGCGCAATTTTTAACGCATTGCGCATACGCCACATGTTACACAAGCCTTATAGGAAATTCAAATTGCTAATGTTTATTGAATGTAAATACATATATGCATTTATTATATAATGTATAATATCATATAAGGAAAGCCCTAACATTATTTGAGTTAACTATAAACTACGAAGACGTAGTTTAGTTCCTTGCCATCTTTCAAGCATCGCTCTTCGCAGCAACTACAGTCTATATACACGTACATACACATATATCCATAGAATATTTGTTGACTACCCGGATTTCTCGATTTATCTGTAAATCTCTAGTGCTGGCATTGTACTTGCACTTGCACCCTGCACTGCACAGCCTCAAGACTGATGCCCACAACTATTTCGATGACTCATTCGCCCAGCCGCGCCCCCTTGGCCCAATCTCTGTCCATTTGACGTTTCAGTTGCTATTTTCAAACAATTGTGTCGACATGTGTCATACTCGTTATTCGCAACGTTTTTGCCAAGATCTATATTATTCTAATATACATATATTTGTGTACTCAGCACATACTTAACATCCTATATATTTATATATATTTAAATAATCATATCTACACCTAAAGACAATTTCGGGCCTTTCAAGTTCAGTTTGTAGCGCATTAAATTCCAAGTGGTAAAAATTTTATGAAGCATCAAGGAGGTTTATGTACCCGAAATATATACATACATGCCTTACTTTCCAAATGTTCTGTTATTCTTATTGAGGTTTTGAATTTTAATATCCGTTTATAAGGTGTAAAGCGAGTGTATTCCGAAGTTATACATATATAAGAGAGGGAAAGAGCGAGGAAAAGAGGAGTGAAGAAGGATAGTGAGAGAAGAGATAGACAGAAGAGTAGAGATGCGTAGAGACTGAGAGAGATAACAGGTGTAGGGAGAAAAGAGAGAGTGCGATAAGAGGGAAGACAAGAGTGAGAGATAGAGGGAGATGTAGAGTGAAAGAGAGAGAGAGAGAGAGAGACCAACAAAAAAGAGAGGGAGAAGCTACAGATGAACTGATTGAGGCAGATCATAGAGAAAAGAGAAAGAGAGGGAAAGGAGATATGAAAGTGGGAGTTAGTCTAACTCCGCTGCTTGGTGAGCTGAATTCGCTCGAGTATTACTCGATATAGTCTACCATAGGATAATATATATGCCCACTAAATGTCAACCAACTTTGTTGGCTAGTTTAAACAAATTGAGGGAATGAATCAAACAGTTAAAGCAATAGATAAAATCTTAGGAAATTCCTAAATGAAAATGTTTACACAATTTGCTTAGATATAAATATGTATATATACATATATACATTTATATAGATATTTATATTATATTATAATATTACTTTTTGCATTTCGCATCGGAAAAAGTTGGCAATGGCCAGCTGCCAAAGCAATTGAAGTAAGAATTGTGCTGCTTAAAGCCTTTCAACAAATTATTTATGCTCAATGCAAAATAAATACAAAACAAGCCGGACACGACTGCACAATACGCGCTCAGTCGGTTCAATTTAGGCCAAAAACAGCAGAGATTAATGTTTGCTCAGATCTCAATGAGATGATAGTTCCAATTGAGGAGGATCTATATCGACTTTTGCTACACAAATTTGCCACGCCTCCAGCAGGCATTAGATTAGCTCTAGTCAAGTTTTGGGTTCGTTATATATGCCTATATATATATATGTATATAAGATTTCCATATGTATATATAGGGAGTATAATTGGATGGTTCCTCGCATCAATAGTGATCAAAGGCAATACGAACGAATCCGATTGGCAAATCCAATATACCCTTTACGTTCACTGATCGTCTATAAACAGCGAGTGTAAAAGCGCGTTTGACAACGAAAAGAAAATTGTTAAAGACAAAATGCAAAGTGCAAAATGTAAATGTGAAATGCAAAATGCAGAATAGGAAATCGCTGAGGCGAACGCATTTTCATTCATGACTTGATTTTATTTATGTGGCTGCAGAGCGCGGGCGTCTATATACCATATACCATCCGTACATATGCAGCCAGGTATATAGAGTGGATATAGCAATAGCTTACCTGTGTTTGTACACATACATATACATATATACATATATGTACATATGTATATGTCTGATCGTAATGAGCAATTGCCCAACAATTGCCATGCACTTGTGGCTGTCAGCCAAACGACGAGCAGCTAAAAACAATGCAATTCGAATTTTGTTTAATTAACGTACTCGGATCGTACATATATATACCAATACATGTACATACAATACATATGTACATATATAATGTACACATTCTGTATAGACAGGCATTTTATTTATGATATCGCTTTGACAAGCCAAGGCAGCTGGGCACGCGCCCTAAACGCATTTCTCTCTGCGTTCCGCACATTATAGATCTAGCTGCCATCCAAATTTCTCAGGCAGCGCAGCACAGTGCATCATGTTGTTACGTTTCTAATGTGTCTTTTAGACAGGCAGCAGGGGGCGTGGTAGGCAGCATAGTAATATAAATAACAAATATATTCATAATATCGACTGTACTTAACAAATTTACCTTCCTTCAATCCTGAAAAATCCTATATCCTAGCATCTGTAAACATTTGTATGTCTTTTTTAAGCTCTTAAAGAGTGAGTGTGTGTATGTGGATCTCTTCCCGGGCGCAAGGTTCAGGGTGTAGCCTAGTCGAATACTCCCGCTTAAAGCATTTTATATATATATATATCGTATATATGTATATTACAATATATCGTATATCGTATATCTATATACCTCAACACTGGTTGAGGGGAGTCCAAAAGCTGATCACTTGCTACCCTGATGGCACAATCTATTTTTGATTGTCTTCGAGACTATATGGTTTCTATATAGCCGGCGCTCACTTCCGGTTCTAAAAGGGGCGCAACTAGCGTATGCATATATGTATATTTGTGTGAGATGGGGGGCGTGGCATAGCAACAGCTGTATTTACTTTTTAACTTTCTCACTCAATTCGATTTTCATCTTCATTTGCATCATCGACCCGATCCGTTATTCTGATTGGCTTTGCGGTTATCTATAGCCGCAGCTGTGGCACCAGCAGCAGCGGCAGCAGATCTCAGAACCTCAGCGAACCTCAGCGAACCTCACCGAATTCTAACCCCAGCAATGCAGCGAAGCGCAACGATCGGTTTCGGAGTGGAATTCCCTTGCCTCAAGCATGAAGCGAATCAAGTCATAAACACTTTGCATATTCTTTACCTTCCCCGTTTGGCTGGCGTTTCTTTTCGTTTTCCCTTCTTTAGTGGCAGGTGGCACATCTTTTTCTAGCTCTTTCATGAAAGACTTCATACCTTAGCAGTTTCCTAATCAGTAAAACGCTACTGAATACAAGCAGAGATAAATTCACTTGAATTATCCTGCTCTTAGACACCATTTAATTCGGTTCGATTCGATTCGGATCGTGGGCTTTCCACTAGTTGCATTCAGAGTTTTCGAGAACAGCATGGAATAGTTTGCAATGAATATTTGAAATATGCAACGTTTACAACTCTTTAAAAAGTTTCGAACTGAGAAATTTCATATTCATGTGCGAAACAATAATAATGAAGTTTTTGTATGCATATAGGAGTTGATACAGTTTCTCAGCAACTACTGATTAATATCGTCTGCCTTATCATTGCATTGTCTATAATTAACTGAAAAAGTATTGAGAGCAGACGAGAAACCGAGAAAACTTTGCTCGTCTTGTGGCAAGCGAGAGCGAAAGAGAGGCAAAGAGAGCGAGAGTGTGCCGACACTGGGTGTAGCTGTGTGAGAGAGAGTGGCAACATGGGTGTGCATGGGTGTGTGTGCTTCGCTGCTATAAAAAGAAAGCGCGCTCGCTTTCAGCGCTCACTTTTTGGTTGCAGCTACCAAAACGTTGTTGTACAGGCAAACAAAGAATTCAATAAAACACACAAGAAAATTAAATCAAAAACTGTTTCGTACTATTTTTTTTTAATATATACAAATTTTGTATAAGAAGTGTTGCAATATTTTGAATATTCAAAATACACATATATTGCCCAAGTTCAAGTGCATTTGCATTGAAGTGAAAGTACGTAGTGTAAATCCTTAAGGAATTCCATAAACAATAAAAGCCGAAAGAGCGGAACCCACTAGTAGCATCAACAGTACACACAATTCAAATACAAATCATCTATTTAAAAAGATATATAAAAAACCAAAAAAGCGTGAGTGTTAAATTGCAGCGTTCCAGCTGTGCCGCCATTTTTAATTTGCCATCCTGTTGCTGTTGCCATTTTGAGCTGCCTACTGTCAACTGTGCAAAATTTATCGATAGGACGCAGTCAAACTAAAAGTTCACATGACACGCAGCCTGTGCGCAGGGGAAACGGGCATGCGAATGTGGCAGGGGCAAGTGTAATTTACAGTGGGAAAATAAGCAAGAAACAAAAGAAAACGGCTAATGAGCCGCAGCACCAGTGGCAGCGGAGCGGCGGGGCAGGGCCGTAGCAGCAACAACGGCAAAACGAAAATTTTCTAGTTTATGTAGTTGGGACCTTGGCACTGCGCATGCGTACCAGCCTATGCCAGAGTCAAGAGTTCAGGCAAGGTGGCATCGCTCTATTTTTTTGTTGTTTTTTTTTTTTGTGTTTGTGTTTTTATTTCTTGTGCTGCGAGTAATTTAACTTTTTTTCTTTCTTTTGGGGCAGGTCTGTTTTTATTTCCAGCTTTTTTGGCTCTGACTGTGGGTCACAAAAGAAATGCTAAATAATAATACAACAAAAATACATACATATATTGTGTAGCAATGCTAGGGCACAACACAATGGGCGCTCAAACGAAACAAATTTTCATTGTTATTATTATTGTTGTTTTTGTGGCTGTCTTCGAGAGTAGCGTTTCTTTTCCGTTTAGTTGTTTGTTGTGGTTTTGTTTCATTTCTTTGTATTTTATTTTTGCAAGAGCTGAAATTTCGCAAACTTTAATTGGCCTTTATTTACATTTACAGTACCCGAAGCGTTTGCTTATGCTTTTTTGTTGCCGGCAAACCTGAGGTTCAACTTTTCAAATTTAGAACGCGACCATTTGTGGTGATACCTGAGTCTTATACGGGTCAGTGTCGTCAATTCCAGCGAGCGCTTTTCTAAGTAACTTACAAAACTGCAAGAACAACAACAGCAAAACGTACCAAATCCCATTAACAAAATGACCGATGTATCGCATGAATTGGGCGCCCTACGCTTTGTAGTGGTAAGTAATATCCTCTAATTAAAAACAATAATGAATAATTCGAAAATTGCAATTGCTATGTACTAATTACTTTTTACTTAAATAATAGCAAAAAATTGCACCTCAAATAAAAGTTAGATCCTTGGATATAGATAGATCATACTCATATAGCAACCAACTAAATTCGAATCTATAGATTATGTCGCTTCGAAATTAGTCATTTATGTGTATATCCTTCGAGATGTGCTCTATTCCAAACCAAATTCACAGTTCATGCATAACTAATCGCTCTAAAAAAAGCACCAATAAAATATTATAGCTAATTGGCTAAAAGTTTGGTCGCTTTATAACAAAAGGCATTTGCGGAATGCGGCGTACAGACTAAAATCCCTAAGTATATTTAAAAAAAGAGAAATTTTCACATTTTTTATTTTTATAATTCCCATGAGCATTATAATTGTATTGTATTATTGTTATATTGCACACATATCTCGTGCGACAAATACCTCCAAATTATTTATGAGCGAAAATAAAGAAAAATACGAAAAATGTCAGATGCCAACAGTTGTTGGTATGAAATAGCGAAAGAAAAAAACAAAAAACGGCGCGATTAAAAATCGTTCAAATGAAATAACATAAATTTCCAAGTTATTTTGCGAAAACAGTCTTCAATTTTCAGTGCCTTTGCTTTAATATGTCGCCAAATGAATTACCAAAAGAGCAGAGTTATGTGTGTATGTGATTATATATTCATTTTATATATATGTACATGTGTGTGTGTGTGTGTGTGTATATATATAAATATATACACATATGCTTGTATTGTGGCTGACAAAAGAAACAAATTTTTTGTCGCTCTGTGCAAAAGATCAAAACACGGAAAAATTCTTGGCAATGACCATCGTTTGAGTTGAAATAGCAATGTTATGTAGCCTTATGTATTCTATATATATATATATATATGTATATACTTGTATGTATATATACCTCCAAATCGAGATACATATGTATATACGAATCTCGCTGAGTGACAGCAACAAATCGAAATGTTTTTAGTTACAGTCGCAGATGACAGTCGATATGCGCATTGTCGCAGCTTTCGAGCAACCTCTGCTAAGGCTTTGGCCACTGACTCGCTCATTTGCGGCATTTCGACTCCTAGACTTGGCCATAAATTGAGCTAGTTTAATGCAGTTATTAAATAAATGCAAACATCCCAAAACATATATAGCCGGTTTTTGATGTTTGCTTAGTTTCACGTGTTAAATTTTATTATTATTATTTTTATATTCATTATTTCCCAGCATGTGACAAAAACGCAATTTTGATTTCAATTGAAATTTATGCATTTTCTCATCACAGACTTTCACCTGATGCAAATTTACTGACAAATATATGCACATACAGACATATGTATGTATGCTTGCATATGTCTGTATGTATGTATACAGACAAGTAGCTATGGTTTCGTATAGAGCATAGTGAATATATAACTTTTTGGCAATCGGCAAATTCGTCTTGCTTAACATTTTCATTCATCGGGCGGATTTGATGCGCATTTCATTTATTTATTTTTATTATCGAATATATGAATGAAAAATCATGAAACAAACGGAATGGCGTCAGCCAAATTGATTATTGACAACAACGTCATTGGCTTGGATAACATTCATTTGCTTTATTTACTAATCAAATTTTAACAAAGATGTTTTTCGAAATAAACAACAGAATGAAGAAACAACATAAGCATATATTCATATATAGAGACATTCATATAAATATAGTATAAATTTGTTCAAAATATGTTTTGGGCAAACAAAAATACGTTGGCAAAAATTGGCCATGAAGGTCGTTTGCTGGTTTTTAATTTTAATTCTATTTATTTGGGCTGCTTGCTTTTTTTTTTATGAAATTTCTTTTGTGTCTGGGATTGAGGAAGTGTAGTGTCGTGGTGTAGTAGTGCAGTAGTGCTTTATACGAATTTTCGTTCTCATCAAAAATTTGTTTTTATTTATGGGCCGACATTTGCGCATTCCTTTCGTCCCATTTGCTTGTACACTAAATATATATGTACATATATGTACGTATAAATAGTATAGAGAGTAGAGTACATTTGTATTTACATGTGTACATGTTGCTCATGGCTAAAGCATTTTGCATTTATTAAATGAAAAATGAAAGAACATGTAAATTTGTTGTTATTTAATTACAGCTCATTAATTAAACAACTTGCCACGTGTCCGTTTTCAATTCAAAATTGAAAGTGTGCCGCCATTTCTGGTTGGCAGTGCGACACAAACTCTTAAACAGCCTGGCAGCCTGCATGTAATTGCAGACTTCAAGATTTAAGATCTGGCAAGGCTTGTCTTGAGAATTTGGCGCTATTGAGGATGTATTTTGGTCGAAGAGAACCATAGAACGGGAATTATATAATATGTACAGCTATTTATACTCAGCGTTTTCATTAAGCTAATATGATATATGTTTTAAAAATTTAAAATAACCCGCCAAGTCAAACTGCCTGTCAGTGCCTGACCGGCTTAGAGCAGCCAGCACTCTGGCAACACTGGCTTAAGCTTAAATCTTTTTTAGGCTTCCTTTGGCAGCGTCGTGATTGAAAGAATTTGTTTTTGCCTTGTTGCAGGACTCGCCGCTATCATCAAAGGTGGCCATGTTTAACAACCAGGCGACACAGCATAAGCAGTCGCAGTTATTGAACCCATTCTCGCACGACGGACGCGCACCGTCGCCCAAACCGACTTTCTCCAAGGATCAGTATGGAAAGCCGCTGGCCGGCAGTCTGACAGAGATGCGCGGCCAGAAGGCCAATATGCATGTAATGAAGGAAATGCTGGAGCTGTGCCAGATCATTGACTCCGAGGGCTATCAAGTGAAGGACGAGCCCACCATGCGCGTCATACCCTTTGGGGAGTTGTTCAACGTAAATTCTATTCTCATATAATACAAGAATTTAGTCTGAGCTAATCTTTCGTTTAGATTTATAACTACATTTCGGACAAAGTTGTTGGCATCCTGTTGCGAGCCCGCAAGCACAAGCTATTGGACTTCGAGGGCGAGATGCTGTATCAGCGACGCGATGACGATGTGCCCATCTTTCTGCTTCGACCCATTGCGGAAATTCGCCGCGAGTTGAATGCCAAGGTTGAGGAAATTAAACGGGGCGCCAGTCCAGCGCCTCAGTCTACATCGGTGCTGCTCGACAAAAGTGCACACGAGCAGAATCTAAAAGTGCTGGAGGAGAAGCGACGCGCGTCCAAGTCACGTACACCCTCGCCGGCTGTCAAGTCGAAATCAAAATCAAAATCACCTTCGCCTGCAGCTGCCGACAAAACGGAGGTCGTACCAGCTGAAGCTGCAGCAGCAGCAGCAGCACTACCAGCGGCAGCTCCCGTTGCAGCAGCAGCAGCACTACCAGCAGCAGCTCCCGTTGCAGCAGCAGCAGCAGCAGCACTACCAGCAGCAGTTCCCGTTGCAGAAGCGGCTGCCGTTGCACCTACTGCAACAACAGTTGAGGCAACTGTGCCAACTGTTGTCATCGATCAGCCGCCTGCAGTGGAAAGTGTAGCTAAAAAAGAAGTTACGCCAGAAGCTACAATAGAGCAGGCACAGCCGGCAAGCGCATCTCAAACGGAGGCAGCGCCCCCCGTAGTTGCTTCGACTATTACTCCAGCTGCTGCTGCTCCTGCTGATGCTGCTCCAGCTGAAGCTGCACCAGCACCTGTTGCTCCTAGTGCTGCTGCAACTGAATCCTTAAATGAATTGCCCACAATTGTTATTGAAGCCAGCGCAACATTTGTTCGCACGGTCAGTGTTGAGCCGGTTTCGGAACAAGTTTCAGGGCAGACATCAGAGCAGGTGGTAACAGCCGAGAATGCCTAAAGTAAAAAGAGCGCATGGAGTTCAACAACCGGACTTTTGGGAACGTTTTGAAATAATTCGCAAACTAGTAAAGCGGCAGCTTTAAATTGCAGTAATCTAGATTTAAAGCATAGTTTAACTTTATAATTAGGTGTTTAAACAGCACTGAAGACACTAAAAGAAGGAAGAAAAACAGGCAAAGATAGAGAGAGAGCAACTATTTATAAATAAATAATGAAACGTAAACATACATACATATATAAATATACAACGTAAATGTAATACAATATATAGACACAGTATTATATAAAACTCATACTTATTAATGCATGATTATTATATAATATGTTGGTAGTAGTTTAATAAAGTGTAAAAATCCAATTTGAATTTAAACTTTCGTTCTGGCGTTGCCACTTTGCAAACGAGCTTTTGGTCGTTCGCAGAAAAATGGCAGCCCCTAATGAGTGCATCATCAGCTGTTTAGTCCCGCATTTTTCTTTTGATAAATGCGACGGTCATTTATTTGCTACTCCGACAATCAGTAAATAATGAGAAAGTTCGCAGCTTTTGCATGTGGCACTGGTGCCGGCTTCGCCGCCTACTACTTCCAAAAGCTACGGGATCCTCTACAGGTGGTGCACAATTCATGGACGAACAGCGAGAGACATATTAGCGAATGCGCCTTATGGGACAGCAATTGGGATTTCCGCGACCCCAAGAGCTTGGCACGGCCCATGAAGAACGATAAACCTCAGGAACAGAATCGCTATAACGCCGATCTGGAAAAGAATACTTCGAAATATGCACGTCATATCATTCTAATACGGCATGGGGAATATCTCGATGTGGGTGAAACGGATGAGACGCACCATCTAACAGATCGCGGTCGGCTACAAGCTAAATATACAGGCAAACGTTTGCACGAGCTTGGCATCAAGTGGGACAAGGTGATTGCCTCAAATATGGTGCGGGCGCAGGAAACTGCAGAGATCATACTTGATGAAATCGACTTCGACAAGACCAAGGTGAAAAGTTGCTCGTATTTACGTGAAGGCGCACCAATACCGCCTCAACCACCTGTTGGACACTGGAAACCAGAAGCCTCGGTATGTTGTCCGAGTTGAATGAAATTATGTTTATTTTGATTCCATAACAAATTTAAGCACTGATCTTAACCCTTTACCATTTGGCTTCAATTGCAGCAGTTTTTCCGGGACGGTGCACGGATTGAGGCCGCCTTTCGACGGTACTTCCATCGTGCCTTACCCGATCAGGAGAAGGAGAGCTATACATTGATTGTGGGACACGGCAATGTAATACGTTACTTTGTTTGCCGCGCATTGCAATTCCCGGCAGAGGGTTGGCTGCGCATCAATATTAACCATGCATCAATCACATGGCTTACGATTAGTCCGTCCGGCAATGTTTCGATCAAATATTTAGGCGATACCGGCTTCATACCCGCCAAGCATTTGACCAATCGCATACCACGAGAGGCCAAGAACGTTGTCTAACTGTAATCTCGAGACGTATAGCTCGCGATTGCTCCTTCCCAAAAGGCTGGTATGCAACCCCAACTATCAGAATGCAATAATAAACATACAAATGCTTTTGTCCATAGATGACACTAGTTTTTGCCATGAGCGTAAATAAATTGAAGCCTATGCTATTTCACATTAATGAATTGAAAGTTTTTGCCTATAACTGGCACACAAAAATTGTAAATTAAAGCTCAATAAATAAAAGTGATTTTACATATGTGTCTGTCAATTGCAAATACGATATTAAATGTCAACTGAAAGCGCGGCAATCTGCTGACTATCGATATAAGCAGCTGACTATGGCTATCGATACTGCATGCGCGCATGTGAATCCTAAATGAAATTGTTGTTGCCTGTCCACTTGCATGCTGAAACATGCAGAACTTATTGTCGTTCCAGTTAGTGTTTTTATCATCGCTGCAAGATTTGTATAATTGCAGCTGGAACTGGAGTATTCACTTTTGTTATTAAATACTGTCAATGAAAACATAGGAAAAACACAAACAGAGAATATGACGGATAAAACATTTAAACTGTCTTTAAGGAAAGCGCAGGCCATCAGCGATAAAGATAGCGATCTTCTCTTACCAAATGCAACGAAGAAATTGCGACGTGTTAAGCGAAAATTGTTGAAAAGGAAGATACAACACAACTGGAAGGAGGACGAAATTAACCGTTTGATTGCTGCTGTGGAGATGGAGCCATCGATTTGGATGGAAGGACCGCTGCAGTATAAGTCAGCTAGAAAGCACTGTTGGGACGCTGTTGTGGCCCAGCTGGCTATCGCCGATGTCGACGTGAACGAGGCCAAAACCAAATGGTCCTCGCTTCGTGTCACCTTTCGTCTAAATTTAAGCAAAATGAACAACGCTAGCTCGACGAACGGCAACACTGTTGTCTGGCGATATTTCAATCAAATGTCCTTCTTGAGCTCCAGTTGCCAGAATAATCAATCGAATGTTATGGTAGACTATTTATCTGTTTATATTTTAATAGAGCTGCAATTAATTGCTTTGCCTTTCTCTTGCAGCTCAAGGAGGAGTTAAATACACCTGTGCAGAGTCCATTGCCTACGATGGACAAGCGACGACGTACACGCGGCCGTCCTAACTGCTCCTCCTCTACTTTACTGCCGGCCTCGATCAGCCTTTCCTCTGAAACTCCAGCATCTGAACCTGCATCGATCTCGCCGAGACCCGCACCAGCACCGGCTCCGGCAAATCCTCTATTATTACCTACTGACGTCCCAGCCAGCCCGGAATTCTCTTCATCGCCAGCACCACGCTTATCCACGCCTGCTCTTGCACCCTTGTCGCACGTGTCCGCTGTGCTAAACGACGGTGTTGACGATGGGTGCTCCAAAGCGGACGCCAATGCCGCCTTTTGTGATTACCTTTTGTCTGAAATGCGATCTCTTTCCACGGAGGAGGCACGCGCGCTGCGGCAGCATTTAACACGCACCCTGTTGAACTTCATGGAGCGTGTGTTGGAGATGTGATTGAAGATCGCTTCCAGAAAAGAGCCACCTGAACTTATTTAAGCGAATTCCCTAAGACTTATGTCATGACGATAGGTTAGTCAACGTTTATCTTTACGGCTTTATCAACTGTTTATTTATTACTAGAATACCACAAATATATTTGTAAATACTTTATTAACTAGCCTTATATATTTGTAAATAATTATGTTAAGCAACCTTGAGCACCTGTTGCAAGCGCTGCAGGCATTTGCGTATGCCCACATCCTCGCCAGCGCCGCGTTTCAGCTCGACGCTGTGCGCCTGCTCCCGCACAAAGCCAAAGAGCGGAGCAACCAGTTGCGGAGCTCGTTCCGCCAGCTTGATGAGCATCTGGAAGTAGAAGTAGGTGCAGTGCGCCAAATGCTTCTCAGCCAGATTGCGTATATCAGCCGAACAGATGTCGCGAGCAGCTGCAGAACGCTGGAACTGGGACAAGTTGACCAGAACAGCATAGAGACTGAGCACCTGCACCCGACTGGGCTCCAGTTCGCCAACGAACATTACGTGCTCGAGCAGCGGCACGTGAACTGCTCGCAGCAGCGTCAACAGCTGCGCCTCTGCCTCGGCACCCAGCTCCAGGTCATCCAAGCCCACAAAGAGCTGTTGCAGCACAGTAAGAATGAGACCCACATGCGTGCCCGCCTGGCTGCGCTGCACGGCAAGGAATTGATTCGCCAGATGCTGCAGCACAAAGTGCGCCAGTTCGCCATCGGAGTCCGCTTGCAGGAGCGTGGCGTATGGACGCGCCACCAGCTTCACGTTGCTGGAGAAGCCAAAGTGTGGGGTCCAGTGCAGCACGAGCTGCTCCAGCGTGCGGCTGAGATAAGCATCTGTGCGATATGGCAGGCGTCCAATGCCCTGCAGCAGCACTGGAAATATCTTGTGCAACAGCTGTGGCAGTCGTCCCTCGGGCGCAACGCCCGCCTGCAGCTGAGTCGTGAGCAGGAAGCGCACCATGGCCAGGTGAAAGAAGCAGCTGGGCTTTGAGCGCACATAGCAGAGCGTCGGACAGTTATAAATCACAATTGCCAAAAAGTTATAGAAGCGGGCTCCCACCTCGGGCCGCTCCTGCCGGCTCTGTGGCGCTAGCCACTGGTCAAAGTGCGCCACATAAGCATGCAGCTTGTGGCTGAGCTGCATGCGGACGTGTGCCAACGCCTCGTGCTGCTGGGCTCGTCTGCCCAGGGCGCCGAAGAAAGCGCACAGCGGCTCCCGATCTGCCAGCGAGTCTGCATCCAGGCCCAAGGCGCACACCTCCTCCAGCTGGAGGACGAACGGATTGAGTGCGAGCACCGCCTCGTGCTGTGCATTGAGCAGCACCAGAGACTTGATCCACACCTGAATGATGAGCATGCTGGACGGCGGCTGGCCACCTAATGTCGTGTCCCGCAGCACATGGAGCAGCAGCTGCGCACTAGCTGCCGTATTGACCGGCTCGGCACCTTGGAGCAGGCTCTCTAGCAATTTCTTATCCCTGTCCAGTGCCACGAAGTCGGCAGCAAGCTGTGGCAGCCAAGTGCTGTATCCGCTGACATACTGCACGCGCAGCTGTGGAAGCACGTGCTGCTGCAGTGCATCCCACATGCCAGCGGACATGTTGGTCCTCAGCTTCTGGGCAAGCAGATGGAGAGCTTGCCAAACACGATCCTGGGCCGCCTGTGCACTGTGCTCTATGTAGTGGGCTAGCCAGGGCGCCAGCAGCAGCTGCTCCCCACGTGCAAAGTCATCGGCCAGCTCGAAGATGGGCTGCAGCATGGCCGCATAGATGCCGCCCACATCCGTATCGTTGCGCACAGTCGCCAGCTGGGCGAGCAGCTTGCTCACATACTCATCGAGCGGCTGGCGACGCTGCGCGTGCAGCAACAGAACAGCCATGTGTCCTTTGGCCGCCAGCTGGCGGCGAGCCGGAGGCAGCTTGTCGTAGGCCAGGCAGAGCAGCATTTCGCGCAGCTTTGGCGCCAGCTCACTAAACTCACCATAGGTGAGTAGCAGGCAAAGGAACAGCTCAATCACATGATGTATGCCCGACTCGTTGAGCGCGAGCAGCTTCGCTGCACTAAACTTGCTGAAGATCCGTCCAAGGAGTTTCTGGGCCTGATTACCGCGGCCAAGTGCCGGCAGCTGCTGCAGCGTTTTGCCCAGCAGCAGGGCGAACAGCGTAAAGCTGCTTAGATTCAAGTCATCCGGCAGTGGCTTGGCCAGCAGCGTGCGATAGCGCTCCAAGTAGGCTGATCCACTGGCGCATATCAACGGCAGCTGATCCAGCTGAGACTGGCCGCCAAAGTTGCAGTTCAGCGATCGATGCAGGCACTCCCACAGCTGGCAGATCACATCCGTATCGGGCTGCCCCCAGCGCAGCTGCAGCGGCGCCAGCAGACAGAAGTAGACACGCCGCTGCTGCTCATCCGGCTGGCAGGCCAAGAATTGCCTCAGCAGGCAACCAGTCTGGAGCACCTCGGCAGACACTGGCGTTGGCTGCAACAGCTGTATGCCACACGCATCGTAGGCGCCCAAGCGGGCAAGGCTCAGGCGCAGCCAAGCGTAGAACTCATGATAGGCCAGCGCAGGCGCAGCATCCACTGAAAGGAGACTCATGTCAAGCACTAGCAATTCGGCAAAGATCACTTAAAACTCTTACGCTGCTTCTTGTGCCGCTGCATGGCTCTGTGTAGCAATGGCCAGAAGCCAGTGTCCGTATCTATATCTGCGTCTGTTTGCTGCTGATGCGGATGCTGATGCTGCAGCACCAGCCACAACTCCTTGCAGCAGCGGCACATAAAAGCCGAGCTGTGCAGCAGCTCAGCGCTGTGTTTGCTTCTGTAATAGAAACTGGCGCAGAGCACCAAGTCGTCCAATGTGCGCTCCAGTTGTGACAAGTACACGAGCTGTGACGTCGCATCGAGCTCTTGCAATTTGTGCAACAGGCACAAGTCCAGCAGACGCCATTCGAGTGCACCGTGATAGAAATGATAGGCCGGCGCCTGGCACTCATTGCCCTTGGAATGCTCCGCAAAGTACAGAATGCGCCATGTGTCCGCGTCCAGGCAGCTATTGATTAGCTCGCGCAGCTGAACGATAGCTGGCGCTAGCAGCTGCAGCTGCTGTTCGTCCACCTCGTGTAGCAGCCAGAGATAGTAATGAGTGACCTGCTGGCGTGCCTTGTACCAACTGCTGGCAGCATGCAACGAGGACTTGGATTGCAGCTGCTGCTGACCTGCGACGGCTGCGCTGAGCTTCTGTATTTGCTTGCTAGGCGGATATAATAGATGAGTACATATATTTCATGTATGTTTATTGGTGTCTCTCTATATTACTCACCACGATTCGCCATGTACATAGCGCAAGACAGCGCAGACTTGCAGCTGTTCCGGCTCGAAGTCAAAGCACAATTTTTCCAGCCGGCTGCGTGGCAACGGCGCCCTTAGCGCGTAACCATTGCGCACGAAACTATGTTGGGGAAAGTCTGTTTGTGTCTTAATAGTATCCCTCCCACCGCAGTTAAACTCGGGCAGCAGCTCCAATATGCACTCGTCATGATCAAGGTGATCATTGCTTTGTATCTCCTCTGCTGGCTCTGGCTGTGGCTTTTGTGTTGCTTGTAAGAAGGCTGTGAGTATATCCTCATCGTCGTCCGATTGGAACAGATCATAATCCATTCTAGCGGCTAGCGATCTCCACGGTTGCTCTTTCGCTATGACGATTCCATTTCCCGCAGAGATCAACTTTAGTGAGTGAGTTAAAAGACCGCCACTGTTATGAGACCCTTCAGTTATTAATGTTAATGTTAACTAACAGCTCTGTTCTGGCGCTTCGTTTTCGGCTGTGCTCTTTTTTGACATGGTTTGGCGGGCACTTGAGAAGTTGTAGAAGTTTTCGCAATAACTAGTGCTTATCTATGTCAATTTAAATATTTAGACAATTAAAATATTCACTAATAAAAGTCGAAAATAAAATATCCGAGGTTAACTGTCTGGGTCAGCTCCAGAAATATTTGCAGAAGCTAATAGTGCTTAATAGTACTTTCTTATACAAAATAAAAATATATTGCTGAACTAAAAGCTCAATGCGTTACGTGGTTAACAACTGTATATAAAAAAAAGTTTTAAGTAGATAACAGTTTCAAAGATGCTTCATTTTCACACAAGTAATTAAGCGCACGTTCCAATTTCCGAAACTGTGACGTCACACGGTTAACGTGAAATATCTTTAAAAAGCGTAACATTAATAAAGCCACTAACCATATGTAAGTCAGTGGCAGCACTGATGTTTTTTGACAATACTATCGATTAAAACAACTTCGATTCAAGGAATTTAACTTTTAGTGTACGATAGTTGTCATCGTATACTCGTATAATACAGATGTATGAGCAATCGTATATCGACGTTTGACATCTGAGTTTAGTTCAGTGAGGCATCAGTTTCATAAATTGAAACAAAGCGAACGGAGAAGCAATTTTACTAATTTACTGATTTGCAATGGAGGTCGACGAAGATGAGTTCGAAGTGCCATCGAGCAGCAGCAAGGGAGAAAAGAAGCGTTTTGAAGTTAAGAAGGTAAATACCATTAATTTATTCATATGCAAACTTTTTATTAAAAAATTACCCAAAATGGCGAATTTGCAAAAACATGGCGTGTAACTAATTTTGCTCTTACCATTTTTTGTACTTCCAGTGGAATGCTGTAGCTTTATGGGCATGGGGTAAGTCTGCTCCCAAACCAAAATACAATGTAAGTGTATAAGAAAAAGAAATAAATCATATCTTATTGCAGACATCGTTGTGGACAATTGCGCTATTTGCCGCAATCATATAATGGACTTATGCATCGAATGTCAAGCAAATCAGGCATCGGCCACCAGCGAGGAGTGCACCGTTGCCTGGGGCGTTTGCAATCATGCTTTTCATTTCCATTGCATTTCTCGTTGGCTTAAGACTCGTCAGGTCTGCCCACTTGATAATCGCGAATGGGACTTCCAGAAGTATGGACACTAAGACTTGCAGCAACTGAAATACATTTACAAGTACAACAACAGCAACCAAACACACACACACACACACACACACGGGAGCGAGCACACATACCCACGCGAGCGCACGCACCCACACACGCGTGCAAACACACAAAATACATAAAAAAAATAATAGGATACTGACGTCGCCGAGTATTACCGGTGTTTTGAGGCACAAGACAAGTCCTCAATCTATATCAAACTTAGGTTAAAATTCATGAGTTTGTTTAATATAAGAAACTGCATGTTGCACACATAAGTTTGTTGGTTTCTTTTATACACCCATTGGAAATAAGGAAGTCATTTGCTTGCTTCGAAATGTTTCTAGTAGTAAAGTTATTACCGTTAATCGTACTTTCCAGTTCACTGGGAATAATTTAATGGTCCGGCTGCTGGTAGCACACATACGTATGTATGTGGATTAGCATAGTCATCTTTTCTTATTGCACAAATTATTTAGTCGAATTGAATTGAATCATTGAACTTTACAATTTAAGTAACTTTTGATGACAAGATTGACAGAAAATTGCACATGAAGAATATGTACCTATGTATGTGTTAGCTTTAGTATAACCACGTTTTTCCTCTTAACGGTTTTTAACTACGAATTAGCTTATACTTAACAATTGTTTTTTGGATAACCTATAAACAATTCAGAAGCCAAGGTAGTTATAGAGCTAGAATTGCCACTTCGAATGTATACTTTTGAAATGATCAAAAGATATGGTGTATATGTCTATGCTTATTGGGGGACGTGGCAAATCGGGAAAAACAGTATATTCTACCAACTTTAGAGCTAGAAATCCCAAACTTGGCACGTGAGTTACTGTGGTGCAATATTATGCCACTGTAGGCGTGGCAAATCGAGCCTGACTATATAGTGGTTTATGCAAATCATATTTTGTTAATGCTAGAGGCTTGAAATTCGGAATATATACTCAGGTTGACAACCCAAGGCAAAAATGATATGGCGGACATATGTATCTACTCCCATTTGGGAGTGTGGTAGCCCGCAACAGTGTATATATTCCAAAGTATGAGAGCTATAAACTTAAGAATTGGATAGCTGAGTTACTGAAGGCTTTATCTACCGATGACGCCCATTCGAGGACGTAGCATACTAAAAAATACCCTGTAATTTTACCTTGGACGCCTTTTAAGAATCAACCAATGATGAAAATTCTACGCCCACAGCGGCTGCGATTGATGCTGTTGGCATCTTATATTGCCGAGTAGTGGCAAATGGATCTGCCGCCATTTGAGTCGTGAATGAGTGACTTGCAGTCTTATTTCATTCACTTAATTTCACAACGGAGAGCGTAGAGAAGCAAACGGGCAACTGCGCCCTCAGCCCAATGTTTCACTATATGTGTTTTTAATAATGGGAGCTCACAAATATTAATGATCAAACCTAGTTTGTTTAATTTATTATTATTATGAATGTATGCGCTGCTGCCGTGCAAAAGAGTGCACAGCATAATTACATGTGAATCGGTATGTTTGTATATAATTAAAAAAAAAAAATCATAAAACTATATTTAATAAAACTAACTGATGCGGCGGCGTACGTTTGTGATATTTTTCTCCGCTCCACATGAACTGCATACTTGGCTATCCCTCAATGCGAGGACCTGCGGCTTCCAGGCAGAGCGACACGCCGGGCATTCCGCTTATGTATGTATGTATGTATATGCACTTATTGTATATGTAAATATGGTATAATTGTTTGTATATCGACTAATTTATATGCTAGTCTTAAAAAATTAAACTTAAGCGATAAACACAAAAAATGTAATATAATTATGCAAAAGTGATTTGTTGGGCCAAATACATTTTTGTAGGTGTGTATGTGTACTACGTGTAAATTTAAATTATTAATAATAAATTAAAACTAACATGAACTGCACAAAAATGTCAATGAATTATATCGCCTAGATTCACAAAATTTACTGCAAGTACATACACACATACACATTGTATTCTTCCTTGTAACTACATACATATATACGTATGTAATCATGTATGTACATGTGTGTATGTTCTCTTCTCTTTCAACAACATAACGAAAGAAAGGAATATAAATACAAATACAAATACAAAATAGTGAATGAAACAACTTTTTCGCAAGTCATCAAAATTATTGTTGTTTTGTTTTCAATTTGCAGCGTTTATTTTTTGTTATTTTTATTTTCTTTATTTTTATTTTTTTTAAATATATGTTTATCTTTTTAATTGTTATTTAAATAAATTTTATATGCATATGTATATATATATATATATATTGTAGATATATATTTTTTATTTTTATTTAATTTTTGTGTTTTTATATACAATCTTTTGTCTGTGTAAAATGAATTTTGGTTTACTAATGCTTGTATGCATTTCTTGTTTATATATGCCACCTATATAAGTATGTATGTATATGTATATGTAAATTGAGTTCGGACATATATACACACATATATATGTATATAATATATTGCTTTTGATGCTATTGTTTGCTTCTATTGTTGTTATTGTTGTTCTTTTACTGCTCTACGTTGTTGGCTTATATTCTTTGTTTTCTCATTTCATATACACATATGGTTATAATATGTATTTTAGTTTCTTTTTTTTCTTCTTTAATATTTTATAAATTTATCTTTAATTGTAAGGCGTCTAAAACCGCTGCTAATTGCGTTTGTGTATAATTTTGCGTATTCATGTGTGTGTGTGTGTGTGTATTGATGTGCATTGCATTTAGAATATATTTGTTATATGTATTGTTATTTTTTTCCCGTTTGCTTCTTTGTTCACAACGTTTAAAAGATAACCGAGAGTAAGAGTGAGAAAGAGACAGAGTTCTGCCGTCTGTGTGTGATCCTCTCCTTCAATCAATGGCAATATTAATATTCCTTGCTCTTCCAACTGCTGTCGTTGCTGCTTTCGCTGCTGCCTTGGGCTGTGCTGTAGTTGTTGTTGCTCCAGTGGACGTTGCACTGATTTACTTTGAATTTGTTAACAGTTATAAATCATTTCGTTTTGTTGTTGTTTCGAATTTAACTGTACAGGATTTGTATGCGTTTTAGTTCTATTCTTAATTTTTTAACTATGTTGCTGCTGCTGCTGTTACTATTGTAATTATTATTGATGTTGTTATTATTATTAATCTTATTAGCATTATTATTAACACCACCACCATCACCAACTGCAACAATTTGTTTAACACACGCTTTTTTGCTACATTTATGCTTTAAATATCCATCTGCAATGCCGAGAGAGAGAGAGAGAGAAAGAAAGAGAGATAAAGAAAGAAAGAAAGAGAGAGAGAGAGAAAAGGGAGAAAAATAGAAAGAAAAGCAAAAAGAAATGTATAATCAAATGTATGCTAAGACAACCGACTTCCTGTTTTTCTTGCTTGTTTGGCTTTGCTTTCCTTTACTACGCAAACTGTTATACTTTTTTTTTATAGTATTAGAACAAACGGACATAAGAGACTCTCACTAAGGCTCTGCTGACAGAGTTGCCATACTGTTTAAAGCATACACACACCTGCAGACGAGACCTAACGCTAACAACAAAAGAGGGGAGGGCGTTGGGGCGACAGCTTCAGAGCTAGCAGCAGGCAAGGGGCAGGTTTTAAATGTTGTTGCAGTTGTTGTTGTTGGCAATGGCAGCAGCGCAGTCAATTCGCATAGAGATCAGTCGTTGGTTATTTGTTGTTATGTTGCTGTTGTTGCTGCTGCTGCAGCTGTGGTGATGAAGATGTTGGCTGCTGTTGTTGTTGTTGTTGATCAGACAATTTGCATGCCTGCTGTTGTTGTTGTTGTTGCTGTTGCAGGCCGGCAAAGCTGGTTGGGGCGAGCAGAGCACAAGTGCCAAAGGTGTGCTTAGGCATGGAAAGAAAACTGTGCGTGCTGGACACGCTGCTCGCAGCAATTGTTGCGCCGTTGCTGCTGCTAATTGTTGAGCTGTTGCTATTGCTGTTGTTGTTTATGTTGCTGTTGCTGTTACTGTTGTTGTTATTGGCATGGATGCTGCTGCTGCTACTGCTAACGACAGCCTGTGCCTGCTCTGCAGATCGTTTGGTGCTACCAAATGTTGTCGGTTGGTGTTGTTGTTGTTGTTGCTGCTGCTGTTGTTGGTAGTAGGTCATGTAGCTACTGTTACTGCGGCTGCCATTCAGCTGATAGCTGCTTGCCGGCGATTTGGAGCGTGTAAAGAAATTGGTTGACGAGGTACAGGCCGATTGAAAGGAGCTTACACTGGATGTTGTCGAAGTGGGCGAGTCAGCTGCAGGCATCCGTGGCTGACCAATTATTGCAACCGACGCAGTAGCAGCAGCAGCAGCAGCAGCAGCAGCAGCAGCAGCAGCAGCAGCAGCAGCAGCAGGAGCAGTACCTGCCGCAGTTGTACCATCTGCTGCTGTTGGGGATGCCGCTGTTGCTGGTGTTGTGGTTGTTGCAATCGCTTCAACTGTATCGGATGCTGTCGATGTTGGCGTGCTGTTGCTATTCAACGACGAATTGTGTACAGTCATGCTGGTTGCTCCGCTGCTACTGTTGCTGCTGGCGTAGGAAGCATTAAAGGACTCATCGCTGGTGCCACTGCCAGCACCGCTGCTGCTGTTGAGTTCGTCGACACCGCTGGCTTCGTTTGCTGATGTTGCTGCGGCACTGGTGGCTGCTGTATTTGTTGGTGGAATGTCTATTGTATGCGACTCGTTGCCAAAGATTAGGCGTAAACGCTTCTTTTGCGGCGTGCCATATATGCTGTTGGTGCTGGCAGCAACTGTTGCTGGCGGAGGTGTGCTGCTGGCAGTGTTGAAGCCGCGGCGACGACTGCGTCGTGATTTTTCTTTACGGCGCCAGTTACTGGCATCCAGTTGTTGCTTTTGTTGCTGCTCTGAGTCTCCTGCCTGCTGCTCCATATCTTGCTCTTCAACTTCCTCCTCCTCATCAGCCACTTCCTCTTCTTCAGCTTCACCGTCATCGTCGTCCTCCTCCTCCTCCTCCTCTTCTTCTTCCTCGTCCTCATCCTCCTCCTCATCGTCATCATCATCGTTGCCATGCTCCGAAATGCCTTCCATGCGCAATATTTCATATTCAATGCCGCTACTGCTGCTGCTACTGTTGGCATTGTTGTTGTTGCTGCCACTGCTGCTGTTGTTGTTTTGATTGCTGTTGCTGCTGCTGTTTTGATTGCCCCTATTGCTGCCGCCGCTGTTGCTGTGCGTATTGTTGCCCGCTTGTCCCGTTCGGCCGCCAGCAGCATGTCCATTCTGAAGAGCATGTTGTCGATCCTCGCCCAAGCTTGTGCCGAGCTCGAATACCTCATCGAGAATCGGCGAACGTTTCATTCTCAACGTCAGCTTTAGCCGTCGCTCTGGAGTCTTCAAAAGCGGTTCCACAGTGCTGCTGCTTATTACGGCTGCTGCAGTTGTTGTTGATGTTGTTGTTGTTGTTGTTACGGCTGATGCTGCTGTTGTCTGCTGGCGCTTACGTTGCTGCACGCCACCAACCGCCTCGCAGTGTATATGCTCTGCAGCTGCCAATGCAGCGGCACGTCGACTGCGCTTCTGCTTGTGTGTGGACTCATCCACAGGTGTTGCTGCTGCTGTTGTTGTCGCTTGACGCTTGTTGTTGCCTGCGCCAGTCTGCTCAAAGCTAGACAATAGGTTCTTTTTATATGCGGGACTGCTGCTGCGACTACGTCTTGATGCTGCTCCTGCTGCTGCTGCCGTTGCCTGTTCCTGCTGCTCACCTGCTGCGGAGCAGTTTGACGACGAGGACATCATCATGTTTGCTAAAGAAGCTGTTGATGCCGTTGCTGCTGTTGCTGCTGCTGCTGCTGCCGCCGGCTCGGTCGATTTTAGTTTGCGATCACTAAATCTAGCGCTAACATTATTTCTACAGCTATTACTAATATTTAAATTATTACAATTTGTAATCGTTGTTTTTATGTTGCTGCTGTTACTGTTACTGTTGCTGTTGTTGCTGGCAGTTATTGTTGGTGATGCTGCTGCTGCAGCCGCTGCTGCTGCACGTCCGGCGCTGTTGCGTGTTACGCGTTTCTCTGGTGTAGTTGCTGCTGCTGCTGCTGCTGCTTCGTTGCATTGCTGCTTTTGCTGCTTCAGCTGTTGTTGCTGTTGGTGATGCAAATCCGTATCGCTGCTCTCGCTATCCGTTATATATTTGCCCAGTGTCTGTGCTGCATCCTTACTGACCTTTTGACGCTGCGTTTGCCGCTCGCTGCGTCTAAGCTGCCGCTGTTGCTGGCGTTGCTGCTGCTGTTGTTGCTGCTGCTGCTGCTGTTGTTGTTGTAGCTGTTGTTGCTGCTGCTGCAGTGCTGCAGCCACAGCAGCTGGCTTATAACGCGGTACCAGTACCACAGGCGCCTTATTTGCCATTGTTGTAGTCGTTGTCGTTGCAGTTGCAGTTGCAGTGGCTGTTGCTGTCGAGCTACTATGCAAGAGTGGCGGTTCGTCAGTGGACGCTGTCGATATGGTACTGCTGGTGCTGTTCACTCGCGTCGATTTGCGCAACGTTGCTGCAGCAGCGGCAGCGGCAGCGGCAGCAGCAGCAATAGCAGCTCGCCCATTACTCAGCTCGGCGGCTGCTTGTGGCTTTTGCATGGCTGTCGCCTGACTGGCGGCCTCAGCAGCATTACTGCTGGCTGTTGCGGCAGCAGCTGCTGCTCCTGTTGTGTGTGGCAGGTGAGTGTGAAAATGATGCATATGGTGATGATGATGATGATGCTGCTGCTGATGCGGATGGTGATGCTGCTGCTGCTGCTGTTGATGATAGGCTGCGTTAGCCATTATCATTTCGGCATCGTACTTAGTCATGCCCTTCTGTCGCAGCTCTTTCATAGTCAGCGGTGAGACAATCACATTGGGCTGCTTTTTGTCCAGTGACAAAGCAGCTGCATTTAGCTCCAGGCTGCTGCTCTTAGGCCTGCCCACAGCAGCTGTGGCTGCAGCTGTTGCTGCTGTCGGTGCAACAGCACCATTTATGTTGCTGTTGCCGGCATTGCTGCTGCTGTCGTTGCTGTTGCTATTGGAGGTGCTATTGGTGCTGTTGGCGCGACTCTTGATGCGATTGATGCGATTGTCCGTCTCACGCAAGCGATAGCCTCCGCCATTGGCGCCGCCGGCAGCGCCCAGGCCCAGCCCCAAGCCTAAGCCGTTTGTCAAACCAAGCATTGCCTCATTTAACTGATTTGCCGAGTGCTTGCCCGCAAAGGCGCCTGTCCCGCGTCGCTCGCACGTCTCGCACTCGCAGTATCGATTGCTGTCGCCAAAGAAATCCTCGCCATAGAAGCACGTAATCTCCTCGCCCACCTCAATGTCACGCAACACCTTCACGCACGCCGTGTCCCGGCCTGTGGCAAGGAACTTGCAATTCGCACGGCAATCGTGATTGATGTAGGCGGCGGGTCCCAGCCACAGTTGAGCGCAGTTCTTGCGGCAACTATACATCACAGAGAAATCATTTTTGCCCGAATGCAACAGCGCCGCCTCCTCGGCCTCGGTTAGCTCGGCAATGCAACCGACCAGGCATTCAATTTTTTCGTTCTTCGACCAACGTTTCGTGGAACTAATCTTCGCACCACGTTGCTCCTCCAGCGAATATCGATAGCATGCCTCGATCGCAAAGCCACTGTCCTTGTCGAACACACGCAAATAGCGTATAATCTGATTAAGTAGAAGAGAAAAGACCATTTTTAGTTCAAATTAATGTTTTCGAAGAACAAGAAACAGAGAGATAAACACATAAAGCTTCTCACAGATGTAATTCTTTACCAATGCATTGTATATACTATATAAATACATTTTCTGATAGCTATATCAGTTGCTATCAGCTATCAATAACAATTAATGCTGCATCTTTACGGTAATACGAACACCTGAGAAGCAATTTGTGATGGATTTTAGCCCACTTACATGATCGTGCAGCCGCTTGGTGGCTATCTTGTTCTTATTCTTGAGGTGACGAGGTATCCAGGGTCCATCGAAGATGCGCTGTATGGCAATGTCATAGTTCTGTGTGTGTATAAAGTCATCGACAATCGCTTTCAGCTGCTGTGTATCCACTTTCAGAGGCCTAAAACGTATATTCATTTTGTGCGTCTGAAAGCCCAAATGTGGATCCAATATCAGCGATGTGGCCAGATCATCGTTTTCAGATAGCTCACGCGGGGACATGCCCGTCGATTGTGATAGGCGACTAACGGCGCTGCCGTTACAACCGTTAAGGCTGCCACCCATATGAACCACTGCACCAATGCCATGCGACGAGGACGTTGATGATGATGTTGATGTTGCAGAAGAAGATGATGTTGCTGCTGCTGCAGAACTAATATGCTGTTGCTGCTGTTGCGACTGGTAATGATGATGATGGTGATGGTGATGATGAGGATGATGCTGCTGTTGCTGATGTGAGTTGCTGGTGTTGGTGCTGCTGTTGCTATTATTGTTGTTGAGAGTTTGGCTTTTGTTGTTATTGTTGTTATGTGACACTGACGACGCCGACGACGACGACAACGTCGTCGCCGCCGCCACTGAGGATGCGTTTGTAATTGAAGACGTTGCGCTGGTGGAGTTGTTGCCACTATTCGTGTTACCGCTATTGCTACTGCTGCTATTTGTATATCTGCCGGCAGTTTCACTGCGCCGCGTATGATTCGAACCGACGACCATTCTGTATAATATGCAGTCTGTAAACAGAAACGAACATAAATACAAGAATCGAATTTATAAATAAAATAAATTAAATTGAGCACTCTGATTTTGGCCAATGTCAACCAGCAATGTGGCCATCTCAGTTTTATATAAATATTTAATTACATGAAATATATATTTTGCATTTACTTATTTTTATAATTTTTGGTATTTTTGCTGTTAGTCTTTTTGAATTCTTAACAGCATACTAAATAGTGTTCAATAAAATGAATGATTTTAATGATATGGCAACTTGCTTTCGATCAGTGTGTGTGAGAAGAGAGCGAACAAGACACAAAGATTGTAATTGTAATTTTACTGCTACGGTAGCTGTAAGCCCTTCCTTTGATATTTTTCAATATGTTCGTCTATTAAATATGTATATAAATTATGGCTCGCTACAATAGCATTCCCATTTTTCTTATGAAAAGCAATTTTTTATAGAAAAAAATTAGATGGCAACGTCGATTTCCAGGCACGAAATGTCTACCCCTACACATACACATACGCGAATTTACAGAAAAGCTCTCAGAAGCAGAAGTTGTATCTGCTGACGCCGCTGATAATGATAAGCGTATACAATTTGTGAGTCAAAGCCAAGTCAGCCAAACGACTAACTACGATGCACAAAAAAAATCTACATACATATATATACACTACACTATGGGCAATTATTTCAATATACCATAATATAAAATAGGCAAATTTAACTTGATTAAAAGAATATATGGCTTCGCCCTATGCTGTGGGTGGTTGGAAATAAAGAACAAAAAATTGTGAGGTCGACAGACACACGCGTTTGCTCTCACTATCCTGACCACCGCTCTCTTTAAACTCATACACGTGCAAAACAAAAATCAATTAACATGGCAGCACATGTATATTAAAATCACTAATACAATCACAAGTTTGCTTATAGCAATAGAATGTAAGTTTAAAACTTTTTAGTTTTAATTTTGCACAGCACACACAACTTATAAAGCAATATAAAAAAAAATATATATATATAGATATATATATGTATATATACTACACCGGATAGCGGCTTTGTTGTATTGTCAACTGCTGCAATAGTTGCAAATGTGTATGTATGTCTGTGTGTATTTTTTTTGCCTAAAAGCTGCTGCAGCTCTCAGCTGTTTCAAAGACGGCCAGACACTTGGCTGCGAGAAAGAGAGAGGCTACTATGCACTCATGCGCATTGCAGACCAAGTATGAGAGTGACCTGCGCAAGGTTGCCACTTTTCAGTAAATGTAAGTAAGTTTTCGGTATTTTGGATAATCTACTTTTGTATACCTATGTAAATAAATAAGTAATGGAAGTGATGTTTCGAATATTATTCCGTATATAAATAAAATTGTTTTGTTGCGCTATTTAGTTTTTAGGGCTGCATAAAAAATTAAGACTTGTGGCAGCGCCATCTCCAATTTACTACATGCACAACACTCTCTCACACACACATAGTCAAAAATGTCAACAAAGAAAAAGGTTGACTGCAGGGTTGTCAAATGTTTTGCAGCAACAAACGTAGCAAATTCTATATTAGCGAATTGTCATTGCTAAAAAATTTTTGTCAGCTGTGTGTGTTGCGACCTTAACAGGAAGCTTTGTACATAACCAAATACATTATAATGCAGCATTGCAGACAACGGTTGGTTTGTTTTTCATGCGCACATTGCCAACCCTAGGTCCAGGTCTTTCTTTTAGCTTGTTACATGGATCACACGGAAAATGGCGGCGCCTATTACACATATACACATGTACATGCATACATGTATGTACCTTTAATAATATTCACTGAGGTGGTGGTGGTGGTGCTGCTGGTCTGCTGTCTGCTGGTTGCTTCTTTTGCTTATGGGTGATGCCACTTTGTCTGTTGCTTCAATCGCTTCAGATCTTCCCTTTTCCAATCTTTCTTTCCGTTGTCCAGCGGCAGAGGCACTATCGTACGTTTATACGCACGGGGCTTGTTTTATTACGGTGCGGGGCGGCTTTGTATATGCTTTATATCCAAATATCACAGTTGTAGCCGCAGTAGAACATCATACGCACTTTGGCGTTTGTTTTGTTGTTGTAGTAGTCGCCGTCGGCTGTGCCAGTTCATTTTTATGTTTTTCTTTCAACGCTCAAACGCCGACGTACTGTCCCCACCTTTCCTCTCCCTTTGTCTTGGAGTCGGAGACTCAACTCGGTAGCTAACGCACGCACACACACACACACACGCACACACGGCCGCACAACACCAGCGCACACTCACACATAGTCATACATGCATGTGTAGATACATATATTCCTTCGCAACGACGTGCGTGCGTATGTATGTTGCATGTGTGTGCCTTCTTTTTTCAACTACTTTGCATGAACGCGACGTCTCATTTTCTCGTATTTCTTTTCTATTTATGACGCGTGTATTATTAACGGTAATTAAATAGATTTAAATATATTTGTACAATAAAATGCTGAGCTTGCGGGCGAGGAAAAAAAACACGCACGCGAGTAACGATTATTTTTAATGTACTTTTCCGCGTTACAGTTCTCCGCGATTCCGTTTTTTCGCATTTTATGTAGCAATCTGTGTGACCAACAATCACTCGTTCAGGAATCGTCGGAGTGCGCGGAAAAATACTGAATATATATGTATATACTTTTTTTTTGACTGCATGCAACGATAATAATGTTAATGTTTGTATATTCATATATTGAATGATTCTGATTATAACGATTGTTAATTAGCCAGCATTTGTTCAAGGAGAAATGAAACAGATACAAACCAGTTACATATGTGCGAAAAAAGACTACAATTTTCCTGCATGTACCAGACATATCACCTCAGATTTAAAAGTGTTTATGTTATGCTAACAGCACATATGATGCGGCGAAAATAGTCGTTAACATAAAATGCCCTAAATATGGACTACAGTAAAAACAGTAATCCTTATCAACATAAATGTATGTGGATTTCAATGATAGATTAGTGTGTCGCGGTATTTTTTGCTGCTCATTTAAAAAAACAAAAAAATTTAATTGCTCTGGCAGCCCTGTCCTTAACATCGCAATTTACATCTTCCGGCGAATATAGCTGTTAACCTAACATATCCTAAAAATGCCCAGAGGACACAACAAACTGCTCTCGGTGTGTTTATTTACATATCAAAAAGGAAGTCGATGTGAATGTTCTTGCCTGTAATTCGGCTGGCAGAAAACTGCAACGCGAGTAATCAAAGCACAACCAATGCATAATGAGACTACATCCGTATTTAGTTGCCATCTGCTGCATCCACGTACTATACGCCTGTAACCATTGGGTGCTCAACGATGAACAAATTGTCCAAAAATTGGATTCACCCTTCTTTATGCGTGAGCCCCATAATTTGATTGCATTTCTGGAACAGATACGCTACAATGAGTACGTGGAGCGTAGCTACTTGGAACTGTTGCGCAAACGTGAGCAAATTGTTGAACATTTACGGTTTTCTATGCGCTTCGGCGAGGATCTGGCCGAGCAGGCTAAATGTGCCATGGACTACTATTTGCTAGAGAAGCGCATGTCTTATCTGAAGATAACACCGGATCAGCTAAAACGCATCAATTTGCCGGAGCACCGTGAGTTACAGCAACACATGCCGCATGGCGGCTTCAAAAGTAAATCCAATCGTGATCAGGAGCCAATCTGCAAAAACTATCAGGAGTTGGGCGTGGGTCCAGCGACTTATGATCATTTGGACAGCTTCCAGCCGGAGGTGCTGGAGTCCGCATACGTAGAGCGGGAGCATGATACGAACATTGGCCAAGCCACCGTTGAGCTAACCCGTCGCTTTGCTTTAGAGGGTCTACAAAGGCAGCCTGATTCATGGAAATTCCATACACTTAGCTCCTACTATTGGCGGATGCGTGGCAATGCTTTGCAGGCGTTGCCCTGCGCTCGCCTTGCAGTTATGCTAGCTCCACCCGAACACAAAGACATTCCACTCCTAAGTCTCGGCACCATTCTCTTCCGCATGGGCCGACTTGCCGATGCAGATCTGATATTGACTGCGGCGGTGGAGCACGCACCGCTCGTGGCTGAGAATCATGTGGTGTTGGCCTCGGCGCTGGCCATGAAACATGACTTCAATCGTTCGCAGTTCCATTTCGATGAGGCGGAACGTCTGGATCCTAGCACCCTGCCACGCACACAGCAGGTACGGAATTTCATCACCTGCTTAGAGAATCTTACAAAGAAGACATCGAAAATGTACAGCTATGTAAAGTACATGAAGAACGAGCTGAAGGAGTTCAAGAAGCTGAAGCAACGTATTTTCCAAAACCACGAGCGATTAGTCCAACAGCAATTGCCGCTGGGCGCACGCCGCTTCCTCGATTCACGGGCCAACAACGAGGATTTGCACCGGCGAGGACAATATTGCAGTACCCGGACGCCGAATGGTTCCGATGAGCCGGTGCTCTTCTGCGACTTCTACTCCGACATGCAGATGCGCTTGGAGAGCAAGGACATTGACATCGAGGTGCTCGAGCGGGATCTGATGGCCAGCACGGAAAGTGTCATTCGCCAAGTCTCCACCGAAATCCGCAAGCAATTCAATTTGGAGCAGCTGAAGGCAGCCAAGGCACAAATGCCGGCAAAAGCTACGAAGTCTACGTAGTTGGAGTCGGAGACATCCAAGCTCTTGCTTTCCCTCTCTTCCAGTTGCATTCCATAAAAGCAATAAGGAGGGCAAGGATGGAAAATATTCAGAGAATTGCAAACCTAAAACAATTCTTGTAAAATAGCTTTTTAAAATGTTTATCATTCATTCGTTTCGCATGCCCTTTAAGTGTAAATACCTAATATATGTATGTACTATTTCATAAGTAGATATTTCTAGATAAGATTACATAAACACATAGGCACATACATATATATAAAGTTGTATATATTTTATTCAATTTTGCCTGCCTCAAACTGATTTCTTAGCCAAGTTTTTAATTTACGATTCGTAAACTTTTTGTATTTCTTAAGCATTTTATTGAATTCAGACATTTCCGATAGTAAAATACTCTATGTATTCTATTTTCTGATGAGTATATTTTAGCACATACAAAAATATGTTTTTTTTATACCCTGAACCCATTGAAAATGGGAAATCAGGGTATAATGGTTT